TTTTCCACTTTGTGCTATATTTTCCCCTTTTTGTGTGTTTGTTTTTTCTGTACCATTTCTTTTCTTTTCTTTTCTTTCTCTCTATTGGAGAGAGAAAAAAATAAAAAAATAAAAAATAAATAAATACAAGTGTTGCATTCTTATTAGAAGGACCACAAATATGGGGATCATAGTAAATTTTTTCACTTTGTGCTATCTTTTCCCTTTTTTGTGTGCTTTATTTTTTTGTACCATTTTTTTTTCTTTCTCTCTCTATTGTAGAGAGAAAAAAAGAAAAATAAAAAAAATAAATATAAGTGTTGCATTCTTATTGGAAGGACCACAAATACGGGGATCATAATAAATTTTTCAGCTTTGTGCTATATTTTCCCCTTTTTGTGTGTTTGTTTTTTCTGTACCATTTCTTTTCTTTTCTTTCTCTCTATTGGAAAGAAAAAAAATAAAAAAATAAAAAATAAATAAATACAAGTGTTGCATTCTTATTGGAAGGACCACAAATACGGGGATCATAATACATTTTTCCACTTTGTGCTATCTTTTCCCCTTTTTGTGTGCTTTATTTTTTTTGTACCATTTTTTTTCTTTCTCTCTCTATTGGAGAGAGAAAAAAGAAAAAAAATACAAGTGTTGCATTCTTATTGGAAGGACTACAAATACGAGGATCATAATAAATTTTAATAAATTTTTCCACTTTGTGCTATCTTTTCCCCTTTTTGTGTGCTTTATTTTTTCTGTTCCATTTCTTTTTTTTTTCTTTCTCTCTCTATTAGAGAGAAAAAAAAAGAAAAAAAAAGAAATACAAGTGTTTCATTCTTATTGGAAGGACCACAAATACGGGGATCATAATAAATTTTTCCACTTTGTGCTATATTTTCCTCTTTTTGTGTGTTTGTTTTTTCTGTACCATTTCTTTTCTTTTTTTTTCTTTTCTTTTCTTTCTCTCTATTGGAGAGAGAAAAAAATAAAAAAATAAAAAATAAATAAATACAAGTTTTGCATTCTTATTAGAAGGACCACAAATACGGGGATCATAATAAATTTTTCCACTTTGTGCTATCTTTTCCCCTTTTTGTGTGCTTTATTTTTTTTGTACCATTTTTTTTCTTTCTCTCTCTATTGGAGAGAGAAAAAAAGAAAAATAAAACAAATAAATATAAGTGTTGCATTCTTATTGGAAGGACCACAAATACGGGGATCATAATAAATTTTTCAGCTTTGTGCTATATTTTCCCCTTTTTGTGTGTTTGTTTTTTCTGTACCATTTCTTTTCTTTTCTTTTCTATTCTTTCTCTCTATCGGAGAGAGAAAAAATAAAAAAATAAAAAATAAATAAATACAAGTGTTGCATTCTTATTTGAAGGACCACAAATATGGGGATCATAATAAATTTTTCCACTTTGTACTATCTTTTCTCCTTTTTGTGTGCTTTATTTTTTTGTACCATTTTTTTCTTTCTCTCTCTATTGGAGAGAAAAAAAATGAAAAATAAAAAAAATAAATACAAGTGTTGCATTCTTATTGGAAGGAATACAAATACGGGGATCATAATAAATATTTCCACTTTGTGCTATCTTTTCCCATTTTTGTGTGCTTTATTTTTTTGTACCATTTTTTTTTTCTTTCTCTCTCTATTGGAGAGAGAAAAAAAGAAAAAAAAATACAAGTGTTGCATTCTTATTGGAAGGACTACAAATACGAGGATCATAACAACTTTTAATAAATTTTTCCACTTTGTGCTATCTTTTCTCCTTTTTGTGTGCTTTATTTTTTCTGTTCCATTTCTTTTTTTTTCTTTCTCTCTCTATTAGAGAGAAAAAAAAGAAAAAAAAATGAAATACAAGTGTTCCATTCTTATTGGAAGGACCACAAATACGGGGATCATAATAAATTTTTCCACTTTGTGCTATATTTTTCCTTTTTTGTGTGCTTTATTTTTTTCTGTACCACAAATACGGGAATTTGATAACTCATATTTTGTTACACTTATTTATTACTCTTGGTTGGTATTTTTATGATTTATTTGAATTAAATAAAGGTCTTTTGGGTCAATTCACTATTCTAGATTTTAGTTGGGTTTAATTGATTTTCGTCATAATTTTCCAGATTTACACTACTTCCGTATTTTGACCATATCTCACTCTATAGATGTCCGATTGACTCCGTTCTTGTTGCTTTTTGCAGCTAACAGATAGGGATACAATCGCTATTTCAGCTACTGAAGCCCAATTCGGACGGGAAGATGGTCGAAACTTGATCTCAAGATGACGTGTTTTGCTGGAATTTTATTTTGACGTTTGGACTTGTAATTCACATTAGGACCCAATGTGTTTAGGGCCCAAGGCCATGTTTTATTTTATTGTTTTATTTTTTATTTAGCTTTTATTTTATCTTTGGGCTGAAGCGATGAAACCCTAGCCGTCTTGCGTGACGGCTATTTAAAGGGCACTCTAGGAAACCCTTGGGAGTCAGTTTTTACAACAGAGAAGTTCTCTCTGAGTTTTTATTCAATTGCGTTCTTCATCTTTTTTCTTCTTCTTCTTCTTCTTTTTATTTCAATTATGTTTACCTTAGCCATGCGAGGCTAAGAACCTTTTAATCAACCTAAGGGTAATGGATTCCATGGATTGGTCTTGAGGATCTGCGTTTATTTCAAATCAGTTTTGTTTCCCTTCCCAACTCAGATTGATATCGTGCGATCGTGGATATTCAATCTGAGGTTCGCGATTGCGATTATGGAAAGGGATTAGTCATCAGATTTGATGATTAGGTTGATTGACCCTATGACCTTAAATCAAGCGGGCTGATACTCTGCGATTGTATGAGTAGAAGTATCGTCTTTGATCAAATGCTAAGCGATCGCTTAGAGAGGGTTGTCAATTGGAAATAAGGATTCTGATCCGATTGACAAATCAATCACGATTCTGATATCTTCTTATCCGAGGAAAGACGTCCATGGAACCCAAACCTTAGGTTGGTTATTTTTAATTACGAATTTTTATTCCAAATTTATATTCTGCCTTTTTAATTATTGAATCAAAATCCAAAACCCCCTTTTAATTTTCTGTTCTCATAAGCGATTTTAACCAAAACAATTTCCTTGAGAGACGACTTAGGGTTTCCACTTTACTGCAAATTTTCTGAACCCTAAAGAATTAATTTTTAATTTGCGTGAGTTCGACAGCTCGTGTCAGGACCACAAATACGGGGATCGTAATAAATTTTTCCCCCTAAAAATCCAAGTGTTGCATTCTTATTGGGCGGACCACAATAACACATTCTTATTGGGCGGACCACAAATACGGGGATCATAATAAATTTTTCCCCCTAAAAATCCAAGTGTTGCATTCTTATTGGGCGGACCACAAATACGGGGATCATTTCTTTTCTTTCTCTCTCTATGTCGGCTTGTATATAAATAGCACCGGTTGCTAACACACCCTCATTGAGTGTTTTTGCTTATAATCAATCTAAAGAGGAAAAGAAGAGAGAGGATGGCTATCAACAATCCTTTGGCTTTTACTTTTGGCTTACTAGGTAACACACAATGGTCATCATCATAGCTATATTTTTCTAAAGCAAACAAATTAACATATTCTCCTTTTGATGTCTAGGTAACATCACTTCCTTCATGGTGTTCTTGGCTCCGCTGTAAGTATATTATATATACCAATTAATTGTTATACTTCCATTTAACTAATGAATGTAAGACCTATTTAAATTTTAATCATTAAACATAACACCGTGTTTTGCCTTTCCTGAATTGCAGGCCAACGTTTTACAAAATATACAAAAAGAAATCAACTGAAGGTTTCCAATCATTGCCTTACTTGGTGGCATTATTCAATTGTGTGCTATGGTTATCCTACGCGTTTGTCAAAAAAGATGCTTTTCTCCTTCTTTCAATTAACTCAACTGGATGTTTCATAGAGATTATCTACATTATCATGTACATAATCTATGCTCCTGAGGATGCCAGGGTATATATATGAACCCCAACTATGTTGATATATATGTCACATTTGTCATGAAAGTTTATACTAAACTTTTTAATTAATTACAGATCTTAACCATTAAACTATTTGTGGCGATGACCGTGGTCTCCTTCGCCCTTATCTTCTGCACCACATATTTTGCTCTACATGGTTCCCTCAGTGTGCAAGTCCTTGGATGGATTTGTGTCGCAAAAGCAGTGAGTGTCTTTGCAGCACCTCTAAGCATTGTGGTGAGTAAAAATTCTTCAATGCTTCTAAGTAGCCAACTATCAAATCTTTAGGATTGGATTTATAGGTCCCATGATCATTACTTACTTCATTCCTAACCAATATGGGACTTAATTACATCATTTGCCTATTATGTGTCACTATGCAGGCACAGGTTATTCGAACAAAGAGTGTACAACTTATGCCTATAACTTTGTCATTTTTCCAGACATTAAGTGCCACAATGTGGTTTACACATGGTCTCTTGCTGAAGGACATATGCATTGCTGTAAGTATCTTTCACATTGAGTTGGTTTAATAAGAAAGCAACATTATCAATTAATAATCAGCTATTAACGCTTTTTTTTTTGGCCATTTTATGCAGCTCCCAAATGCGTTGGGTTTTGTTCTGGGGCTAGTTCAGATGGTGCTATATGCTATTTACAGGAATGCTAGTTCCCAATCCCAGTGGCTGCCAAACGGCGTTGTTGATGACGTGAATCAACAACTAGTAGAGAAAAAAGGTGTAGAAGATGCAAAAGATCTTGCATGAGAAAAGCGTGGAAGCCAGTGACTTCCCTCTGTGATATCTGCCTTATCTTTATATCTACGTTTGCTTATCAGGTCATGTGTGACTTGATTTCAATACAATAATTTTCTCCTTCCACTTAATAAATTGGCATAATATATATGTCCAAAACTTAATTAATTAATATGCGTTTACTCCATTTATCTATTCCTATATATATAAACTCAAGCGGCCGGAATGTTTTCAAGTATTGCAGCGCCTACTTTCATGAATTATATGAGAAAATAGATTATGTACATGATAATGTAGATAATCTCTATGAAACATCCAGTTGAGTTAATTGAAAGAAGGAGAAAAGCATCTTTTTTGACAAACGCGTAGGATAACCATAGCACACAATTGAATAATGCCACCAAGTAAGGCAATGATTGGAAACCTTCAGTTGATTTCTTTTTGTATATTTTGTAAAACGTTGGCCTGCAATTCAGGAAAGGCAAAACACGGTGTTATGTTTAATGATTAAAATTTAAATAGGTCTTACATTCATTAGTTAAATGGAAGTATAACAATTAATTGGTATATATAATATACTTACAGCGGAGCCAAGAACACCATGAAGGAAGTGATGTTACCTAGACATCAAAAGGAGAATATGTTAATTTGTTTGCTTTAGAAAAATATAGCTATGATGATGATGATGACCATTGTGTGTTACCTAGTAAGCCAAAAGTAAAAGCCAAAGGATTGTTGATAGCCATCCTCTCTTCTTTTCCTCTTTAGATTGATTATAAAAAAGGCAGAATATAAATTTGGAATAAAAATTCGTAATTAAAAATAACCAACCTAAGGTTTGGGTTCCATGGACGTCTTTCCTCGGATAAGAAGATATCAGAATCGTGATTGATTTGTCAATCGGATCAGAATCCTTATTTCCAATTGACAACCCTCTCTAAGCGATCGCTTAGCATTTGATCAAAGACGATACTTCTACTCATACAATCGCAGAGTATCAGCCCGCTTGATTTAAGGTCATAGGGTCAATCAACCTAATCATCAAATCTGATGACTAATCCCTTTCCATAATCGCAATCGCGAACCTCAGATTGAATATCCACGATCGCACGATATCAATCTGAGTTGGGAAGGGAAACAAAACTGATTTGAAATAAACGCAGATCCTCAAGACCAATCCATGGAATCCATTACCCTTAGGTTGATTAAAAGGTTCTTAGCCTCGCATGGCTAAGGTAAACATAATTGAAATAAAAAGAAGAAGAAGAAGAAGAAAAAAGATGAAGAACGCAATTGAATAAAAACTCAGAGAGAACTTCTCTGTTGTAAAAACTGACTCCCAAGGGTTTCCTAGAGTGCCCTTTAAATAGCCGTCACGCAAGACGGCTAGGGTTTCATCGCTTCAGCCCAAAGATAAAATAAAAGCTAAATAAAAAATAAAACAATAAAATAAAACATGGCCTTGGGCCCTAAACACATTGGGTCCTAATGTGAATTACAAGTCCAAACGTCAAAATAAAATTCCAGCAAAACACGTCATCTTGAGATCAAGTTTCGACCATCTTCCCGTCCGAATTGGGCTTCAGTAGCTGAAATAGCGATTGTATCCCTATCTGTTAGCTGCAAAAAGCAACAAGAACGGAGTCAATCGGACATCTATAGAGTGAGATATGGTCAAAATACGGAAGTAGTGTAAATCTGGAAAATTATGACGAAAATCAATTAAACCCAACTAAAATCTAGAATAGTGAATTGACCCAAAAGACCTTTATTTAATTCAAATAAATCATAAAAATACCAACCAAGAGTAATAAATAAGTGTAACAAAATATGAGTTATCAAATTCCCGTATTTGTGGTACAGAAAAAAATAAAGCACACAAAAAAGGAAAAATATAGCACAAAGTGGAAAAATTTATTATGATCCCCGTATTTGTGGTCCTTCCAATAAGAATGGAACACTTGTATTTCATTTTTTTTCTTTTTTTTTCCCTCTAATAGAGAGAGAAAGAAAAAAAAGAAATGGAACAGAAAAAATAAAGCACACAAAAAGGAGAAAAGATAGCACAAAGTGGAAAAATTTATTAAAAGTTGTTATGATCCTCGTATTTGTAGTCCTTCCAATAAGAATGCAACACTTGTATTTTTTTTTCTCTCCAATAGAGAGAGAAAGAAAAAAAAAATGGTACAAAAAAATAAAGCACACAAAAATGGGAAAAGATAGCACAAAGTGGAAATATTTATTATGATCCC